CCCTCTGCATCCTCAGCAGTTTTGCTGCGCTTCGTGGATGGGCTGTGGGTATTTCTTTGCCTGCCTGGGGAATAATAGTGAATAGGCCCCATCACTCCTGAAAAAAATAAAAAAGATATTGATCTGGAGCTGTAATGGCTTTCCATTAACGAGGCACAATGAGTGTCGTTGGGGAGTATTATTTGAGCTGCTAACAAAGGGAGCACTGCGCCTCGCAGGCAGCTTCAAAAGGGGGGTTCACCCCCCCACCACCATCCTTTCTGCTGGGAAGAAAAACAAAAAAAAAAGGTAAAATTTCACTGCTCTTGTCACTCAGTATGTCCGAGGACACATTTTTCAATTTGTTAACTTTCTTTATGACTCTGGCTTTGCCAAAAGAAGCGCGAGATGAGGGAAGGAGACGGGAGATTAAATGCATTAGTTTATTTTAGGAAGTCTTTCCAAAGGGGGAAGAAAAACGTGTGACATCAGGGAGACAGGACTCAATTAAAGCAAGACCTTGAAATGCATAAGCCAGTAGTCCAGACCATGGGTCCATTAGACATCTTTGTCAGGCGGTGTGCTTTGGTTAAAAGAGGATGTGTGGCAGCTAGATCCATCACCTGGGGAAACAAACAGCGGTGCTTACATCTTCAGCAGCTCCTTGATCTAGCGATAAACCGTTAGGGGAAATAAATGGGCTTTTCTCACCTGGACTGTCCACATCATGGATGCAATTTGCCATTTTGCCCAGCTGCTGATAAGCAGGGATCGGGGAGGGAAAAGCCGCTTAACGATTTCCTAATAAAGGCCCAGATAAGAGTAGAGCAGCCCTATTACCTCCGCCCTGTTCTGATTTACAGCCTGGATTGCTGCTGCGGGAGAAAAGTGTCACTTGGTGTCTGCTGGAGGAAGAGGCTCGTCGTGGAGAGGGGCAAAGCCCCAAGCATCCGTCTGACCCCCGCGCCGCAGCAGCGGCCTCTCGCACAGGGACAAGTCACCTCTCTCCCCATGTACTGTGTTAAGGGGGGAAAAAATCAGGACAAAATTTAAGGGCAAAAGAGTTGTTTTACAGGCGATGAAATCCTGAAGAGCTGCTAGACACCCCTGCTCCCCGCTGGCCGTCTCACCAGACCCCACACTGGGCAGAGCACTTGCGAGGGAGGTTTTTGATGCCACCACAAGAAACGGGAGAAAAAATTCTGGAAAGCAAGTTCTGAGAGGAAATACCAAGGAGAGAGGCTCAGAAACAAAATCAGCCATAGCAATAATTTCTGGGTATGAAAAATGGATTTCCAGAACAATATCATTCTTTAGACACGCCTGTCCTGGTTTCCACAGCCTCCAGAAGAAGAAACAGGTTGAAAACCCTTTCAGTAGGCTCTACCCCGTATGGATGTCCCCCAGCAATGTGATTTAAAGGACACAGGAAGGCACGCACGTCCCTCCAAATCCCCTGAGGGTGGACCCTGAGATTAGTTTGTCTCAGAAAAGTTTGTCTCAGAAAAGTTTGTCTCAGAAAAGCAACTAGAAAGTAGAAGAGAGTGCAAAAAGCCTGATACCAGGAAGCAATGCAAGAGGCATGATTTTGAAGCCTCTTCCCCCTCCTTTACACCAGCTCCTCCACAATGTTGCTACAGGAACCGCCCCAGCCCAGCAGACCACCGTCCTCTGCTGTCTCCGCTGTGACAAGTGATGCACAGGACAAGTGATGCATGCTGCGTCCATCACTGGTGTCACTCGGGGACCGGGACTTGGTGACTGCTCATGAGGCACAGACGTGACAGATAACGCCAGAGCATTACTGAGCCCCATCACCCAAGTTTAAAGACCAGCCCAGGACCTAAAGTGAGTCCAGGCAACTCATCACTTACAACGGGAGCGACTAAGGGGAGCCGGCCAGCTTTTACTTTAGCTTGGAGAAAATGGTTCTGATGGAGGATAATTGGGACTCTCTTAGAAATAGGCAGGCACGGAGCGGCCAAAAGGTGAAGGCTATTTTAAAAGCATCTGAGCAGAACCTGCAGAGAAGGCTGCCCCGGGAGCAGACATGCAACGAGAGCGCTGCCTTGAGAGCCATCCGGAGCCAGGCGTGCGATCCGGGTGTACGAACTCCCCCGGATCCCCTGTAAAACAAAGCTTCATTTGGCCCTTATGACACTGGGAACTGAATTAACAGAGGTGCCTGCTTGCAAATTCCTAAACTCCCTCGCCTCTTCCAGCTCCCATCCTACCATTGCTGGCAGCAGCGTCTCCGGAGCATTTGCAAAGTGTTGCTTTGAGACGAAGATGAAAGGTGCCATAGAAAGGCACAAAGTATTGTTATTAAGCTCTGCAAAGAGAGGCTTTTTTCCCCCCCCGCTTTTATTTATACACATGCTTACTGCAAGACACAAAAATTACTTAATCAATCCTTTTCCTTGTCTGGAGTGCAGGCTGGATGGAGGCTGCCTATACAATTTTGCACTGAAGATGACAAATTGCTCCCAGATAATGGCAGCAACTCCAGCTCTCGGCTCATCCTGCTCAGGGTGTGACGGTCTCGCTGCGGTGGGTTTGCAGGCTGGGCTGGAGGAGAGCCCAGCGGGGACGAGGAGTGCCCCCTATCCCTCCTTCCCAGGACCAGGCGAGGGAGACTTTGGAGCAATGCAGAAAGCTGTGGCCCTGGGAGGACACCCCACGATCGCAGCCTCTGAGAGCAGGTCCTTCCTCAGCCTGCCCATGTCATCGAGGCTGTGAGGTGGGGGGAAACCGAGGCACCGGGACCCTGTGGTCTCCAAAAGGCATTTCGACGCCAGGGGCTCTGGCTCCAGCAAGCAAGCAGGTGCCTTTGCTGCTGTCCCCTTTGCCAGCGTCCCCTCGTGACTTGCCCAGGTCACATGGGAAGCGCACGTTGAACCAGACGTTCAACGTTCGGGCCGGTCAGCCCAGCGCAGGGCCACATCTCTCCATCAGTCACCTTGAGCCAGGCGGGCAGAAACCTCCAGGGACCCAGGACCACCCTGGCAGCCTCCATATCCCGGTTCGTGCAGGAGCTTGTCCCTGCACGCGGCTCTCCAGGTTGGGCAGCGAGCAGCTTCGATCCCTCCTGCCCCGCAGACTTCAGCAGGGTGCCCAGAGCGGAGCAGGGCAGCGCAGAGGCTGCTAACAGGGCAGTTAGGGCCGGGGAGCTCCAGCAGGCAGGAAAGGGAAAGAAACAGCCCTTGCCCTTCCCAGCCTGCCCGTTTTCCATGCTGCAAAGCATCCCTGGAGCATCAGCAGGTCGAGGCCCCGACTGCCCGTTTCATGCCCTCTCAGCTGGACGTGACACCAGGCTGGTGACGATTTTGAGCCGGCGGCTACATAACTGCCTGGCAATCTCAGCAAAAGGGGGAGAGACAAGGACGGACTTGTAGCTCCGGGTGGAGGGACAGCCGGACCCTCGCAGGCAGCGCCTTGGTGAAGGTGCCTAGCGGCTGCCATGCTCTGGTTACCTCCCCGTGCCTGGTACATACTTAATCTCACTGCCTTTTCCAGCAGCAGCAGCTCCACCAGAAAGCAGTGTTTGTGCCCCCCCTTTCCGCTGCAGGCTCGGGAGTAGGCACCCACCAAAGGAAAAAAAATCTCGCCTGCTCCTAAGAATACACCTTCCCCCCCGCCCCCAGGAAGGTTTTTAAGCTCTGGGATGGAGTTTCCAGTCTGCGACTTTCCAGGCGCACATTTTTACAGGATGCAAGTGTCTCCCTATTGAGCACTTTGTGGCGCTCCTCCAAACCAGCCACCTTTCAGCGTTTGGTCTGAGCAGCAACCCTACAGCAAGAGGCTCGCGCTTGCAGCCTTGCTCTTGCAGGGGACCCTACAATAACAACCAGCTTGCTCATCCCAGGACTCCATAAACACTGCTACACCAGGCGGAGGGCACGCGAGCAGAGGAAACGCAAGCGGCATTGAAAACTTTCTAAAGTGAGATGAGTAGTATGAGGAAAAGTTAGAGAAGGGCAGGCAGCGATGGCAGACCTTCACCGGGTGCTCAGCCACTCCCGCGGCTGCTCGCCAGGGCTGGCGCTGCTGAGGCTCCAAAATTTGGGGCACGCAGAGGAACAACGCTGCTTCTTCAGCTGCTGTGGCTTATGCTCCCTCCGTTGGCTTCAGTTTAAACCAGCCAGCGATTTATTTCAGCCGCTGTAGCAGCAAGCACAGCCCAAGGCCCGGGACACGCTGAGGCTGTGGGCTGCCG